ACCAGTCCTCTGGCTATGTGAGAACCATTTCAGACATAGGAAGAGAGAGAATTCCTGGAATCGTCAAGCAAGAAGAACCCCTGTGGAGCATGTTTGAAATCCCTGCCTAAAGTGGAGCGGCAGCAGAATCTATGCCATACAAAGACCACGGCCCAGTGACCCAGCTTCTATTACCAACTGCCGTTGCAAGATTTGGAGGGGGCAAATAACACAAATGAATGTTCTTGTCATATGGTCTAATAATGAACTATGAATTTGTTAAATAATATTGAAAAGGGGCTTTAAGAGATTTTATAGTTCTTTTCATTCTCTTTAAAGAACGTACACTTAGACAAAAGAAATTAGTCTAGTTACAATAGAAAGTTACTGTACATACTACAAAATGAACTCTATTTTGATAAAAAATAAGCTTCATTAGGGCTGTTGTTGAATAAAATATGAAGTAGAAGATTGTCTTCTAAATCAACATAAAGAATAGAATATGTACAATGTTAGAGGTCATGAGAAAAGTTTGAACTGTACAAGTATATATATGTATGAATGATCCACATATGTTTGTATATATGAATGATCCACATTTTAAAATTCTCCGTTGTAACATGAAATATAAAATTTAGAAAAAGATTTTGAATAAATCAAATAAGGACATGGACTAAGAAGTGGTTATTTAAATTCCCTTCTTTTAAAAAAGTCTTTGATAAATGAGTTTTTGCCTGAACTCTCCATCTTAGGTATAGACAGATGTATATATATATAGGCATAGGTATAGACATATGTATATATCTATGTCTACATATAATATATATATATTTAATGTTGAATATCAGTGTTTATATCTAACTTTATACCAGCAAATATAAGCCTTTTTTGTGTTGAAACATTTTTGGCCACTTCACTAGGTTTTAAATAATAGAAAAATTCTAGGAACTATTTCAAATAACTATCAGAATGCTTGACTCTGGAACACTGCAGATTATACATTTGTTGTGTTTTTTTCAAGTGTAAGAATTTTTGTCACAAGTGAACCTCTACACAGTAATTTCAAAAGATTACAATTGAACAAGTGGGTTTTCCACTGAAACTGAACTCAAATCTTTGTATAAGGATCCTTGTTATTTATTTGGTGCTAATTTCATATTATTCATTGTCCCATTAGTTGTTGTTTTTTTAAATGCTGTTTCCTGAAAACAGTGTTATTTGGACAATTTTGGCTAACAAGATTCTGGGAATTATTATTTAATTGTATGTTGTGAAAACATCTTAGATAATTCAACAAAATTATTTTCTTTACATAAATTCAAAAGTATTTCATTTTAATTTCATGATACATTACTGATTTCATAGGAACAAGTTGGTTATGATGGAAATCCAAAGGAAATACATAATTTATAAAGAGATTGTAATAATTTTGGAGACACAAAATAAATACATGTGAAGCAGCAAGAGAAGTAGTAAAAGGCATAAACTAGTGCCAGTCTCATAAATATTATTTTGGGGTGAGACAAGCATCAATAATCAGCCTATAGCATTTATTGTCATAATATTATTTTTGGTTACTTATTAAGTGCGTATTAAGCAAGTGTTTCTGTGTTTTTATGCTTTTAAAATATCTGATTTTTAAAAAAATTTTAAACATTTTATTAGGGGCTCATACAACTGTTATCGCAATCCATACACACATCAATTGTGTAAAGCGCATTTGTACATCATTCTCAAAACATTTTCTCTCCACTTAAACCCCCGACATTAGGTCCTCATTTTTCCCCTCCCCCCCCGCTCCCCCCTCCCTCATGAGCCCTTGATAGTTTATAAATTGGTATTTTGTCATATCTTGCCCTGTCCGACGTCTCCCTTCAGCCACTTTTCGGTTGTCTGTCCCCCAGGGAGGAGGTCACATATAGTTCCTTAAAATATCTGATTATAGTTCTGAAATCAGTACATATTTCTGGATATATATACAATGTGCCAGCACACCTACAAACAGTAAGGTTGCAATAGTGAGCAAGATGGAGCATCTGCCCTTAAGGACTGTTACTTTGAGTATATATGTATACAGGAGTAAGGTGGTGGGAGGGGGTAGGCAGAGAGTAAATATATGTACAAATAGATCATTTGAGATACACTTTATAAGTATTATGAAGATAATCAAAATGTTAGGTTGGAGAATATACTACTTTGGAGCAGTTTGCTATGAAGGGTAAGAATAATGAGTAAATAGTGAAGGTAGTGAGATTAAAGGGAGCCTTTCTATCTTGTTTGCTTTTGCTGTTTTTCCAGTAAGAAATATCTAGTCAAGAAAATGATGATGTTGTGAGAAATGGGGTAACTGCAGGTATGAAGCCTTTGAGAAGCTGCAATGGGATAGAATTCAAAGCTTGAGGAAAAGGTACAGGAATTTCTCCCATTATAACAGGAGGGAAGTCAGAGAATGTGAATTAAGATGCAGATAAATGAATTTACTAGAAAATCTTACAAATCTATTTTATTAGTGAGAAGAACCCTTTTAAGATTTGCCATAAATAAGAAGTCAACCTTACTAGCACTTCTTTGTAGTAGTAATAAGCATCCCTACTACCTAAGTGAGGTAGTAAAATAGCACTTTCTGATCAAACACACCAGAAAGTTTTGGAAGAATGGTTTATTTCAGGTCTGTAGCAGAAAATGTACTAGGTAAACCTGGGATATTTTGTCATACCAGAGAGCAAGGAAGCTATCAAAGACTATGTAACTTGTCATCCAGTTGATTCTGACTCACGGTGACCCTACAGGACAGAGTAGGACTGTCTCGTAGAATTTCCAACGTTGTAATCTCCAAGGAAGCAGAGTGCCTGCAGTGCAGCTGGATGATTCAAATCACCAACCTTTCATCTAGCAGAAAAACTATCTCTTTGCCAGGAGGGCTCCTTAATGGCTATTTTAAACGACAACAACAACAAAAACAAAACCCAAAAAACCTCACTGCCACAGGCTGTTTATGATTTATAGAGACCCTATAGGGATACCCAAAGGACTCAGGAATCTTCCACTGGTTAAAGATGGGCCAACGTGAGTATCAGTGAGGAAAATAACTGATAGGTGGAAAATAAAATTTATATTAAATCAGGAAGTTCATACTGATTAAAACAAAAATGACTAATTGGATATCATTGGAAGTGTTCAATAAGTCAGTTCTTTATTTTTTAAATTTGTAAGATAAAGAATTAAGCATTTATTTTTTTTCCTATACAATCTGTACCATCAATGAAGACCTGATGCCAGGGGCTTAAGTGGAGAGCAAATGTTTTGAGAATGATGAGGGCAATGAATGTACAAATGTGCTTTACACAATTGAAGTATGCATGGATTGTGATAAGAGTTGTATGAGCCCGCGGGGAGGGAGCGGGGAGGGAGGGGAAAAATGAGGACCTAATGTCGGGGGTTTAAATGGAGAGAAAATGTTTTGAGAAATGATGTACAAATACGCTTTACACAATTGATGTGTGTATGGATTGGGATAACAGTTGTATGAGCCCCTAATAAAATGTTTTAAAAAATAAAAGAGTTGTATGAGCCCCTAATAAAACGATTTAAAAAAAGAAATCAATAAAACATATTATAGTCAAACTTGCAAAAAAACACAAAACAAGCTGTACCATCAAGTAATCAAGGAGCCATGGTGACAAAGGAAGCCCCATGCTGGCTTACCAACCCCAAGGTCAGCAGTTTGACTCCTAGAGCTGCTCTGCAGAAGAAAGTTGAGGCTGTCTACTCATGTAAAGATATTTAGCATCAGAAACTTTACACAGGTCACTAGAAGAAACGGGATAGTCTTTTGTGTGTGTGTTTGTGTGTGAGGGGCGAGGGTGGGGCAGTGTGGGAAGGGTTTAGCATTGTTTAATATAAGGAGTACTGGTCATATAGTGGGTTAAGCTTTGGGCTTCTTAACAAAAAGGTCTGCAAAGGTCACCGGCAATGCCACCACCCAAACCAAAAACCAAATTCATTGCCATCGTGTCACTGCAGAGTCATAGCTACTATGTAGGACAGGGTAGAACTACCTCTGAGTTTTGGCTGAGACTGTACCTCTTTACAACACCAGGGCAACATAAACAATACTAATGTTAAAATTTCAATTTAAACATGAAAATTTTTATTTTTAAAGTTACTTACACTTTTCTAGGAAATGTGTGTGTTTGTGTGTGTGTGTTGGGATGGTGGTGGGGATGTTAAAGATATTGTTGAGAGTCTAAACAACACAGTTGCAAATAGCAACTAGAACCATAAATCAAGGGTCAAGAAAGCAGCACTTGAATGGGCAGCTCAGCATTAGTCAATCACTTTGGCCCACTCCATCACACTATACGTATGTAATAAACCAAAAGACCAAACTCACTGCCATTGAGTCAATGCTGACTCAGCAATCCCCTGTGGGTTTCCGTGACAGTAATTGTTTAAGGGTGTAGAAAGTCCAGTGTTGCTCCTTTGGAGTTGCAGGTAATTTGAACTGCTGATCTTGGGGATCACAGCACTAGACCACTGGGGCTTCCAGTTGCACATGTAAGTGAACTATATACTGAAAATGCTTATGTACACCTAATTATTTTGTTTTTCAAAGTAATTTTGCCTGTATTATCTTATTTAATAAAAGATTGTAAATGGATGTCTGAGTAGAATTAATAATGGCATTTAAATTTTCAGTATGTGAAAACAGTGAATGTTTTTTAATTAAAGAAATATTTAAGAGCCCCAATAAGATAAAATAAAAAAAAAGAAGAAAAAAAAAAGAAATATTTAAGAAGATATAATGGAAGAATAAACTTTATTACAATGGCCAATCTATTCTTTAATATAATTTCTGTCTTATTTGATCATTATCTTATTTTGTTTGTTGAAATAATTTTAACTAGTGTTAATGAAAATGGAACTATATTAAACTAATCTAGATATATTAATTGTCATGCAGTGTTTTAAATGCTTGACAAGTTCTGAAGTCAACTAAAATCACTCCGTTGTCTTTCCAGAGGTCTCTTCATTAGTATCCATGATAAAGGGCACATTCGTTCAATTCTGAATGCATGGCCAGAAGATGTCATCAAGGTAAGTTATCAGGGTTTTCACCACGGCATAAAACAGTTTAAAACATACTGACAATTATGTCAATTATGATGTTAGGTTTTATGGCTTTTCTAGTGAATATCACCTAATTTATATTCCTTGTGTGTTTGCAAGAAAGATTAATTTTATTCTGACACCATGTAGATACTAGCTCCCCATTGTTTCTATTCAACTTCTTACTATACTCTTACTTAAAAAGGACAATATGTTGAAAATATGATAACATTTGCATTTCTTTAAGCAAATTCCTTTTTCATATCTGCTATATTTAGTCATTCACTAAGAGGAACTATGAAGCAAAAGAAATTTGTTATATCTTTCCTTCGTTATTGCCTAGCGTAATTCATTTGACTTCCCTCTGTGAGTTAACCAATAAACCTAAAGGCAAGAGTATCTATAATACTTGTTAGTTGTCTCTGCATGAAGCACTTATCATAAATTAACTCCTATAGTTATCATGATCATTCATTGAGGAAAAAAGGGCACCAGTGGGTTCTATTTTGATTGTGTTTGGGGGAGCTATTGAACATAGGCCCCATAGCTGGCTCCAGCCCCAAACCAAAACCAAAACCAAAGGCAAACCCACTGCTGAGCTTATTCCAACTCTAGAGTAGAACTGATCCATGTGCTTACAAGCTGTTAATCTCTATGGTATCAGACTGCTTCATCTTTCTCCTCCTGAGTAGCAGGTGGGTAGTATAGAGCACACTTGATGTTCTTTACTACCGAGGCTCCTAAACAGCTCCATAAATAAGCTGCTCTTAAATTAGGTGCTGTCCCACCTTTTGACTAAGAGAGGCGAATGCTGTTAATATCCACTTAGTCTAATTTTCTTTTTTCTGAAGGCGAAGGGGGAGAATGCTGGGAATTGGAAGCATCTGGGAGCTGTTGGAAGCATAGAGACACATTATGATATATATACACATATATACACAGACACATATATACACATATATATACACACCATACATTATATATAAACACACACAGTGGTGCATCGATTGTCAAACTCAATTTGTTTTAAATTCGTGTTTGAACACTGAAAAGTTTGAAAACAAGATACTTTTCCCATCAGAAATTGTGGAAAACCAAATAATTGGTTTTGAGGCCTCACAATTACACTACTAAATTCACTATGGAGGCTTTTAGCCTCCTCCCATATCACCATCTCAGATACACTATCGCCATCGAGTTGGTTCTGATCTCTATATTAGCAGTAACGTTCCAACCTCTTCCATGGTCTGGGTTCTTTGTTTTGAGGTTAACAGTTTCACATCTTTTGCTACATTAGTCACTTTAATCACATTTTTCCTCTTAAAAAATGTTGATAGGGTCAACTTAGCCATGCTGTATTCAGCTGCCAAATCAGACAAGCGGTGACCTGATTCCAATTTTGAAACAATTTATTTTTTAACTCCATGGTGATTCTCAGTTTTCCGCTTACACTAACTTCCTTTGGAGCCATGGTTATGACATTTTACTCAAATAACATGCAAACAAAAGCACAACAAGGAATGTTTAACGCACTAGTGGCACTATATGTTGTCTGAGCAAGAGCAGCCATTAGACTGAACAGCCCTTTGTGTTCCAGGTGAGATGTGACCTGTGTCTCACTCTCAGCCCATCCAGGTTTTTTCAGGTCAGATTTTCAGTTCAACTATTGAGCAAAGTTTTAAACACCAAGAAGTGCAAGGGGAAGCCAGCCCCTAACACATCATCATGGGTCCGGTAGGTACAATTGTACGGCGATAATAAGTAAAGATGATAGTAAAGTCATAGAGAGCATGAGAGATTGAAATAATGGAGTCAGACACATTTCATGGTAGCAATGCTCACCTCAGCCTCACTTGGTGGTCCACGTAGAGAGAGATTTAATGCCAACCAAGGCTTTTGTATTCTCTGGGGACATGCAAGCGTCTTAATTACAGGTGAAGATGTACGTCACAGGAAATAGTTGTGCTATAGGTAATACAGTAATGGGTGGGGGGTGATCTAGGGGTAAACATGCAATAAGAAGAGGAGGGATTGGGGGTATACATGTGGCAAGATTCAAGATGGCAGCTTAACTTGGATGTCACTTAGCTGATTTGACCTGTTCCCTGGCTCAACTCTAGAGACCATGTGTCAGTAGGGTGTGAATTACACCTACAGGAACCAAATTGATGACTGTAAACCTTTAGAGAGAAGTAGCTTATTGTCCTTAGCAGCAGGGAGCAGACATGTGGGAAGTGACAATAGTCTGGCAGCTGACTGCCTACAGGGAAGTAACTTTTACCATTTGCTGCAAGCAGTGTCCTAAGTCTAACCTATATTTGGGGGAGACAGCTTGGGAGAAATCTTTCTGTTTCCCACGAAGAAGATTTTTTGTTTTGTTTTTGAGTACTGGAAAGTTTGAGCTTGGAGAGGTGTTCGGCAACCAGTGTTTCACTGCATCTGTATAAGGACTAAGTTTGAATACATTGATGCTTTCTAGCAGGACTTAGTCATGTCTGAAGAATGCCTTCTTTAACGGTCTTTTCTGTTTGTGTAACAGTGAGTAGAATTCATTAATTTCAATGCATAAGGCTCATACTAGGCAAATCTGTAAAGTGTTTTCCACTATTGACAATAGCCCCAATATTTTCACTTAGCTAAATTGCTTCTGCACCTTTTCTCCCCCAAATTAGATACCATGTTCTACAGATTCTGTTTTTAGGAACTACCCTAAGAAATGTGTTAATTCTATGAAGTACAATTGCCTGATCCAAGAAGCATAGTTACATTTTAACCAGAAAGCTGGGCAAGTTTTTAGGAAAGAATGAACCAGTTGTTATTGTTGTTAGGTGCAGTCGAGTCAGGTCTGACCCATAGCGACCCTGTGTTCAACCCAACAAAACACCGCATGGCCCTATGCCTTCCTCACAACGGTTCCCATACCTGAGCCCATTGATGCAGCCACTGTGTCAGTCCATCTCCTCAAGGGTCTTCCCCTCCTTCACTGACCCTCCACTTGGCCAAATATGATGTCCTCCAGGGATTTGTCTCTCCTGATAACATGTCCAAAATATATAAGACAAAGTCTTTCTACCCTTACTTCTGAGAGCACTCCATAAGCCAGTCTCCTGCCCCCAAACCCTCGGCTTTACTTGCTTTGTGGGCTGGAGAACCCACTACTTTCATTCCAGGTTCTGTTGTTTCTGTTCCTCTGCCATTCTGTGGTCTCACAGCTGTCTCCTGGATCAAGGGGATTCAGTGCACAAGGACAACAGGGTCCAAATGTGCTCTACTCCCAGCTCTTTCTCTCTTGCTCATCACAAAATTCCCTCCTTTTTGCTTCCGAGATGGCTTATTTTATGCTTGCAGAATATCAGTCACAATGGACTGTGAACAGTCACTTACAGCTGAATAATATAATCCAATTAACAGCTTTCCCTATCTTCTTATAGAGGCCCATCAGGAAAATGAAAGTCATTTGGTGGGAATAACAGCTATGGCTAGTAATCCTTGTGTTCTTCACTGCATGGTAATAAGTATTCATATTTAAGCAAAGGGATGATTTCATGTAAGTGATCGTTGAGGAAAGTCCATCTCAAGACCATTTTAAAAAGTCTTCTTAAGAGAACAGGAGCAGGGGGTTTGCATTTAGTTAGGGTAGCGGAAGTGCAGGGGCTGAGAAAGGAAAGAAGGGATGAGTACAGGACAGTGGTGAGGAAAGAAGTACATATGAGTGTCTGTGTGCATCCAGGAGAACCTTTGCGTATATTATATCTGTTCACTGTCATCTAGTCAGTTGGAACTACTTATACAGCGTAGTAGTAAAACACATTTATGGTCACAGAACATTTTTTCCAGTCAATGTTCAGCCAAACAATAGACAAGTCTTACTAGGGGAAAAATAACAGTAGGGAGATACCTACTTCTTAGAATAATCAACCATTCCAGAGAACAATGACAGCACTTGCACAAGGACAAAGTTCAAAGGGGTAGGAAAGAAAGAAGAATGGAAATGGAAACACAGGGAAGAAGAGGGATAGGTGATGTTACATTGTGGGGATTGTAATCAAGGACATGAAACAAAATCGTATGAATTATTGAATGGAAAACGAATTTTCTGTGTAAACTTTTACCCACTCAAAAGTTTAAAAATATTTCGCATGTATATTCAGTTTATCTGTTGTAATGCTTAGTATCTTGTTACATAGGTTTCAGACATGGAGATGAGGATTTTTACCCCAAAGTTTGTGGGGGAAAAAAGTTACATGTTAATGGAAATTTTGTCTTTTTCTTCTAGGCTATTGTGGTGACTGATGGAGAGCGGATTCTCGGCTTGGGAGACCTGGGCTGTAATGGGATGGGCATCCCTGTGGGTAAACTGGCTCTGTATACAGCTTGTGGAGGGATGAACCCTCAAGAGTGTCTACCGATTACACTGGATGTGGGAACAGAAAATGAGGTAAACAATCTAAATTTATAATACACCTAAAATACAACTTTCCTCTAGTACCTAAATGCTCCCCCCCCTACTGTCGTGATCCGAATTCTACCTTGCAAGTCTGACTAGACCAGAGGATGTACACTGGTACAGATAGGAACTGGAAACACAGGGAATCCAGGGC